GAAGTTAAATGTAGAGTTTTGCTGTTTCGTAATTAATAATTGCTGTTTCAATAGCTTGCCTATTATTGCATTAGGGCTGCAATCTACCTTTTTGTTTTTTTTAAATAACCGATTAAACATTTAGTCTTTAAAATGGCTAACAGTAGGGAAAAACAATTGCCCGATTTGACTTTTTTAAACTGGTTGTTTTTTCCAACCAAAAGTACAAAACCTAAGTGTATCCAAAACAGAGAAAAGCAATTCAAGTTGTTGACTTGTTGAATTTTCTGTCAATCAACTAATCATTTCAGCAGTATAAGGCATATTTACACATTAATTAGTGTATAGGATTTAGTGGCATCTAGTGGTGAACTTGCACATTGCAACCATTTGAATACAGCACAATGTGTATCAGAAACTAATGTGGTCGTGAAACTTACAAAAAACACAAAAGATCCCATCAAGAGCCAGTGTTTGGTTTGTCTTTTCTGGGCTAATTTAGAAACATGGTGGTTCAACATGGCGGCCTCCATGGAAGGCAACCTGGGATATAAAAGACTCATTCTAAGGAAACAAAAACATAATGATTCCTATACTCAGGTGATTATACACTAATGAAAATATCAGTATCAGCTTTCAAACATCTCCTTGCACTCCTTGATTGTAGCTGAAAGACAGCAGACGGATAGAAAAGTGGCCCTTTTTTCTTCCAAAGGCTCGACGTCAGAGAGGCACTGAAGCACTAATCCGCAGAAATACACCCAGTGTTATTATTCCATGAGAGAAAAGACAATGCAGCTTATCAGTATTGATGAGGTGCCTCCCGTGGGCTTTGATAGAGTGGCTGATAGCAGACAAATCAGCTTAGCACCCGCCAATGTATTTCATCATCAAACAGTCAATACCTGCCATCTGCTGCCTGCCAACTGAGCATTAAAAAGAACTTTGAACAATTGCACCCCAATACAATACGCAATACTGAGTAACAGATGGTAAATTGTCATCAACCGGTACACTGTATCGTTGAATAGTTAGCAGCGGATGCCATTCTACACTGTGTGTTTATCTCATACATATTTCATGCTGTTGATTTTCCCTGACTTGTTGTCCTCCATTTCTTCATCCCCCCCCACCCCCCCCTTCAGCTTGAACACAGTTAGCTAGAGCTGCAGTGGAAATAACAATTACTATTTAAAAACAGAAAAGCTGGATTGATGAGTCTATCTCTTGCCGGCTGATTGACGGGGAAATTAGGCAGGCAGAGATGAAAATCCCTTTTGCCAAGGACTGGGGAGTCCTCCACTCCCGCTGACAGTTGCTCTATAACATGGCAGCCTGATTTCTGTTTTTCATGCTCCCTTGCGTCGTTCTAATGAGATATTTTTAGCCTGCCGCGAGCAGCTGTGCATCAGTTACAAGAAGAGGGAGTCTGGGGTGAATTATTACAAATATACAAACACATACTTCTGCCATTGTGCTACTGTTAAGCATCACTGGTGCATTTCAACTCTCAAATCTTTCTCTTTAGATGGATTGCATATGGGCTCAAAATCCAGTTCAAAGCAGGCAGTACAAGAGCTCCAGATCCTTTTGTCTCAACTGAATCAATCACAGGGGGTTAAACACACTGAGGTTAAAAAAAAGGGAAAAAAACTGTGAGGAGATAAAACAAAACTCCATCACCATCTGTTTTCCCCTGGTGAAACACGCTTGGAGCAGACAAGAAAAACAAGAGGTCTGGACTTTCAGTATGGGAGGAATCACACCCCAAACGTGAATGTTGACAGCTATCCACTTAGCTAAATGTGGGGTTGTGTCGTCAACAAGAGAAAATAGAAGGGCTGGGTTTCAATTGCTTTGTACTCCATGTTGTTGTGGAGAAATGTTGTACAAATTTGTTCACAATCAAGACAACTCTAATGGGAGAACGGGGGCTTCCACTGCAGGCGGGGACAGCCTTCAGAGACAGGGTTCTGGAGGAAAAGAAGAGCACACCAGCAGAAACAACAAGAGAACAATAGACATGGAATTACACACACAAGCAAGAGTGAATGAATAGGCCAACAGATGACAAAAAAAAGAAAAAGAAAATCTTATTTGGGCCACTTGTACCTTAGACTGTCAGCTAGTGGACCCCATGATTAATCAATTAATCAATAAACAACAGAATAATCAAGAATGAGAATAGTCATTAGTTCCAACTCTAGTTACCGTAAAGGTTTCATGATATTTTGCAACAGCGCTCACAGCACGTTGTCATTTTCTCATCGCCATGGATCCAACTGTGAACATGGAGCTGTGCTCAACCATCTGCCTGGATGGCAAGCATGACTTTGATGTTTATATTAAGTTTAGTGCTTCAGTTCATTACTGATATCAATCTGTCAGCTATGTTTTTGATAGATTTTTTATTTGTCAACTCAATAAAATGTCAGGAAACAGTGAAATATGTCTATCAAAGTTTCTTAGACGCCAAGGTGTTTCTGATTGCTAATTCTGTTTGACCAGCAGCCCAAAATCCAAAGACAATCAATGTACTATCACAGAAGACAAAAAATACCAGCAAAAGTTCACTTTTGAAAAGTTGACCTTTTTGCTTAAAAATTGTTCATCAGTTGACTATTAAAATGAAAATGAATGAACTAATTTGGGCTAAGCCAAAATTGTTCAAGTCAACTGGATCAGGAGATTTGGACTCTGACAGCAGCTGCACACTCTGATGCTGTGGCCGGTTGGCTAGCTTCTTAATCTGCTGAAATAAATATTATTTTATTAGCTGTGATAGAAAGCATTTGAAATAGGCAGTAGATCTCTGCTTCCTTGGACACTTCAACATTAACGTTCAGATAATGAACGGGTGAAGTTGACCAACAAACCCCCGCAAAAACTGGTGCATTCCAAGTGAATGAATTACATTGTAAGCAGAAAATGGCATGGTGGGATTTCTTAATGAATGAATGATGCTAAAATGGCGTAAAATATTAAAGTGCAATCAGCTTACCGTCTCTGACAGAAGCAATTAGGGTCAGAGGACACACTTTAGGCATGAGACAGAGACTATTTAAATGGTGACGGAGACACAAGGACATTCTCTCAGGGTTTTTCTGAGTCATCACTTATGCTTGTGTCAACAGGGCTGCGTGAACAGCTCGCTGGTCATCCAAGTCAGAGGCCATATGGGTCAGCCAGGACCTGAGGGATGAGCTGCGGATACAATGACAAGACACACTCAAGTACCATTTAGACTGTACGCACGGCACTGCTTTGTGTCATATCTCTTTTTCCCTTTGTAAGACACAAAGGCACACACAAACACACACACAATATATCTCCCTTGATCCATCTCTTTCATGTCTGGTCTTAGCAGGGTACTGTGTAAATGGCGTGTTGAGCCCCTGACATTAGCTGCTAAGCCAACCACTGGCCCCGCGCACACAACAACCGGCGGTGTGTGCTCTGATGGAGCACTTTATTTGGACACTCTGTGTGTGTGTGTGTTAGTGTGTGTGTGTGTGTGTGTGTACACAGGGGAGTGTGGCAGGAAGCATTTTAGGTACCGCTGACCCAGTCTCGATATAAACCACAGGGTTGAGGGGTCAGGTTGTCACCCCTGTTACAGCTGACATAAAAAGCAGTTGGCTCAGGCATGTTAACTGACAGTGGGTGTGTGTGTGTGTGTGTGTGTGTGTGTGTGTGGGTGTGTGTGTGTGTGTGTGTGTGTGTGTGTGTGTGTGTGTGTGTGTGTGTTTGGGTGTGTGTGAACGTGACTTAGGAAGAACTTACAGGGCTCAGTGCTGTTAAATGAAGCGAGACAAAAATTTCAGATTCAGTATATTATATTATTGTTCATTGTTTAGCTAAATATGTCTGAGCCCAGTGACTCATACAGCACTAACAGTTGCACAATTAACAGCACTAAGACTGTACTTCAACGCCTGTATTACCCCACAGACTATATTTAGCTTCCCATCTCTTTTGTTTCCATGGGAATGAAGAGTTCACCGTGAGCGGCCGGGGCCTCGGGTATTTTCCAGAAGCAAAACGACAGAATGGCTGGCTCCTGAACCGTGGCTGGCTTTTCCACAGCCTGGTGGGTTTGTCAAGTGATCATTTCCACTCCGCCGAGTCCAAGCATCACTAGGTCTGTGTTCAACCACTGCCCTAGTTTTCCCTTCATACGAGCCTGCGCCGTCAGAGAAGACGGGCTTTCAGCTCAATACATCTGGATAATGTTTTAGTTACGTGTTCTGTGCTTGACCCAGTATCAGGGCTTTTATTTTGAAGGGAGGAGGTGAGAATAAGCCATACATAAACTTTTTTTCTTTGCAAACTTCAAACATGATCAAATTAATGGAATAAAAAAATTGGATAAAAGATAGGTAGATCATTTAAAAAAAGAAAAACTGGCTAAGCAACAACAACTACTGCTACTGCTTCTTTCAACTATCTTGATGGAATCTGACATGTTTTACAAGCAGGATCCAATCGAAGTGGAGGCTGCACCCTAAGGAGTCACACCGATGCTGCTCTCAATCCAAGCTGTGTGCTATCTACATATCAATGGCCCACATCCTGATCCCCCTGGGTGGAGGAGTGACCTTGCACTGTGCTTTTCCTGTAAAATATTCTGACAGTACACTTAAGGCACAAATACATTCTCACAGGATACAACAAGTCAGTGTTAAAGGTTTAAAACCACTGTGAAAGCTGAAGTACTACAAACAGATGAGGATGTGATTACGACTGAGTGCACTTTCTCAAAGCGAAAGAGTACCGAGATCAAAACGTCTTCCTGATGTTGTTCTTAAATGTTCAGGCTGCATCACGTCAATATTTCTTAGAAGAGCACTGCGTTTGGTGGGAAGCCAAGGTTTACAGCCACATAAAGCCTCTCCAAATGGGATTGAGCTTCCTGTTTAGGGTCTCTCATCACGCAGAGGCAGCAGCGTTGGCAGTGACTCTGGGGTTTCCCCTCATTGAACGTGACCTTGAGTTCAGTCTGCCGGCTTCAGTATCTATCAGCCGGTCTAACAGCACACTGCTGTCTGTTTGCCTAAAGGCAGAATGAGCCCTCAGTGCAGTCTTCCCTCAATCTCTTCTGCTGTCATGTGAAACCCCTGTAAGGTGGGTCACGTTGGTTTTCATGATTTGAGGCTGAAATGTGCAATTCTGTAGCATTAAGAGTCAGAGAGTAAGAGAAATGTCATTGGGTTACTTTTAACCAGACCACATAACCAGTGGTGAGCTGGGTCGTGGCCATGATGTGGTTATGAGACTGAATGCAGCGGCCACAGCACAGCAGGGTCAGAATAGGAACGATAATGTTAAGAATACACAAGTTGTGATTTCAAAAGGTGAGAACATTTCAGATGAATTACAACTTCTGTGAGTAATACTAGAGTCTCATGGTTTTTTCTATTATTTTAGACTTGTAGCAGACTGGATGTGTTAAAGAAGCCTCCCCAAAGTGCAGGTAATGCATACTTTCTATTGTGTGTTTTTACCAACAAACTGCTGTGGATAAAAAAAAATGACATACAAAGAAAAAAAGAGGATTTGAAAAAAGGAATGGAGTTCTCTCGTCTTTTAAGCCACTTTCAAGTTTAAGGCCGAAACTGAGGCAAAAAAGCTCAAATAACTCCACAATGGCCAACTTGGAATCGTCTGTACGGTGGCCCTGAGCGGCAAAACACAACAACCTTTTAGGTTATGGAAAGGTCGCAACAACACTTCCTGTTTGTGAGTGGACAGAACCCAAGTCATTGGTAACACCTGTGTTTACTTTATATTAATAGTATATTAACTATTTCATGTCAAAATGTCTGCTGTGAAAAAGGTCGACTGTGAACAACTTGTTCTGTAAAACATTATTTTCTTTTGTAAAATGGTGTTGCGTTTTGACCCTCAGGGCCACCGTACATCTGAACTCAATCTCGAAACTACTGAGATGTGTCCTCGAATGGTATTCACTACAGCACAAAACAAGACCTAAATTATGATAAACCAAGATTATCCTTTTCATTTCTCAGCCCACAGAGGCACATTCAAAGTCCCACTACATAAACTTAAAAATAACAAAGTGCTAATTAGACTGTTTTCCCCTTGCTTCCTGAAAAGGCTTTCACCTTGCACAAACACCATAGAGAAGGTGTGTGACACACACACACACACACACACACACACACACACACACACCTCTTTCCATTTCACTCCCATTTTCTCCTTCAGGTGAGAGGGCTTGGGCTCAGCGAAGGCATTCGGCCAAAGAAATCTGAGTATGGAATCAATCACGGACTTGCCCCCTTTTATAAACATCTGCCCTCCCTCTCTCTCTCTCTCTCTCTCTCTCTCTCTCTCTCTCTCTCTCTCTCTCTCTCTCTCTCTCTCTCTCTCTCTCTCTCTCTCTCTCTCTCTCTCTCTCTCTCTCTCTCTCTCTCTGCTCACCTCCCTTTCATCGCTCATGTTCTCCTCTCACCTTTGGAGCTACGGCCCCGATAATTACACCCAGCAACCAGAAGCTTTCTCATTCAAGACTATTGTATCACTGAGGCGTGGAGAAAAGCAAAATGGTTATTCTCTTTTTACTTTTTGGTTCTTTGTTTGTCTCTTTTGCACTCCTCCATTTTGCTTTTCTCTATGCAGCTGTCAATGCTGTAAGGAAACCCCCTGCTTCCCTCATGAGACACCACATCTGCTTTGCAGCCGCTCGCCATCACTGCGTGCCTTTTCAAGCCTATCTCCTCTTGTTTGTGAATTTGTGTGTCGCATGCTCTCCCATCAGCCCATTAGGGTTTCGCGCGGGGATCGTTCAGCGGCGAAAGATCCAGACTGCAGGAGCCTCTCGGCCCACGCTGCACAGATAATGATGGAGGGAATAAAAAAAAAAGGTGAGGAGAGGAAAAGAATCCCTCTGCTTTCTGGACAAACGCTCCATTACAGAAGCAAGCACAAACAGAAAAGGTCAGCGCGTGGAGAACAAGAGAAGAGAATTGTTCTCAACCCTGCCACCGCGTTGCCTTCACTAGCTCGTGTTTTTTATGTGAAAGACAGCGCTGTGAGTCACGTACAGCTCATCAGAAATCAGAGGCTGTGGTTGATATCAGAGAATGAGTCACAAAAGGAGCTGTTGGCCTCCTTCATGTTGGTGCCACTTTGATGAGCGGACTTACAAAAATGGAAAGCATGGGAAAGCGAAAGTGAATTTAAAGCTGGAGGAGTGAGATGTGGTTAGCACGGCTGCTGCTACCATTCGAAACCAGACCACCACCCGCTAATACAGATATGACTGGGAGAAGAAGGTGTGAGAAAACATATACAGTCAAAGAGGAAGTTGATTGGAGCGATGACATGGCTGAAACAAAAGGAACCGTTTTAAGATACTGTCGCGGCCTCATGTCTCTATCCGACAGAGCAACAATGTGTAGTATGACAGCATGAGGTCAAAGCCACATTACACCACATGTACTCACCCCGGGCGGACAACTTCTTGGTATTGATTATTTTGGCGGCGTACTCCTGTCCTGTGGAAATCTTCATGCACCGTCTCACCACAGAGAAAGCACCCCTGCAGGAGAGTTAGAGAGATCACTGTATGGCCAGACTTTCCAAAACACACAATACAGCCATCATTTAACACTTTAACACAACCAGCAAAACAACCAACATTAGATCACTGAATCCTCAAAGATGTAATCACTTTTTGCACTTAAAGGTTACATTTATGACCCCCTGTGGGCGTGTCTGTGTCTTGTCCGCGTAGTGCATGTGAGCTCCTCCTCCTTTAAGCATTTCACTCCCTTTTTTTAGTTTTCATTAAATAGCCGATTGTGGAGTTTGCGTGTTCTGCCAGTGCCTGCGTGGGTTTCCTCCAGGTGCTCCGGTTTTCTCCCACAGACTGAAGACATGCAGGGTTGATTGGTGACTCTGAATGTCCCTGCAGGTGTGGATTGTCTATGTGTGTGTCAGCCCTGTGATTAACTGGCCACCAGTCCAGCATGTGCCACCCCTCTCACCCAATGTCAGCTGGGATCAGCAGCAGCCCCCCTACGCAACCCTCTAAAGGATAAGAAGGCAGGGCGCGAACTACAGGGGAGCCACGGGGAGCCCGGCTCCTCTTAATGAGCCATGAGCTCCCCTGAAAACATCATTTGTGAAATGTTGATGTATGATTAGTGCAGGAGGATGATTCATCGCTAATTCACTTTAATAAAGATACTGATGTGCTTGCCATTACCATTACCATTGAACAATATAGTTAACTTCAGATCAGAAAATATAAATAAAATACACTTTCCTAGTCCCAGTCAGTCTGTGCATCAACTCGCCATTATTCGTTTATTTCTCTGCTTTGTAGTGAGCATACTGTGCGTCACGGTCAGTGGGAGTGATTTGTGAATTTGTTGAGGTCTAAAATAATCACAGTGCTCAGCCCTACAGGATCTCCTAGAAATACTTTGATTAAAAAGTTTTCCATTGCTTTAGGGAAACTGGTACCATTAATTCTTCATTAATAAAAGGTATGTGAATGAAGAATGTATTTAAGGATGCCAGCAAGTAGCAGACTGTTGCAGACTGTGTCAAGCACTGCTCTGAATAGCTTGTGAACAGAGCTGATTTCAACACTCACTGTAACACTGATTGGTTTTTAAGAAGCGCCTGGCAGATTCATTATTGACTGAATGACCTTCACAAGCACAACTCTGCTCAAAAAGAACATTTTGGGGTTCAAAAATACATGAATGGTCAGGGGATACATTCCAATACCTGTCCTCCTGTAGACTCTGAATCTGGCTCACCTTGCACTCCCTCCTGAGAGCGTACCTAAAATCTATAGCAACTCCCTCTAAAAATATGCAGCTGGAATACCCAGAATCTAAAAACTGTCTTTAGATTTTACAGTGAAAAACTGCCAAACCATGGCAGTAGATAAAAGACTCTCAACTTAAATAGGTTCATTGTAGTTTCTGTAACAGTAAAACACCATCATATCTCATGGCAAATATTATTTTATTTTTTTATCTTCATTTTATTATTTATTTATATGGCATTTAAAAAGGGATTTATACATACTAAAAGTATTTTTTCATATTACAGTCTGTAATTTGCACAGAAAACCTTTTTTATACAGCATTCATATGGTATTTTCATTTGGCAAACAAGGTTTTTTTTATGGTAAAAACTTCTAAAATACAGAATAAAACCCCAGCTTTAACCGTAAAAAACCAACAGTTCTAATATCCTTTTACTTTAATAGTAGAAAAAGTCCTACCATGCCCATGGTAGGTTTTTTCACCGTAAAAATTACTTTCTTTTTGTCCTTTCTTTTTTACAGTGTGTGTATATAGTGCCTACAGAAGAAGTTCTTCCATCTATTAATCATTACAGTCTTCCAAACCTGTTTTTAGCAACATTCCTGCAGACAGAGCGGAGCAGCAACCGGTGTAGTCTGTGATGTTGATACTATATCAGTACACAGTACTCATCTGTGATTTATTTTCCAATACAGCTGGCTAAATGATGACTGATCTCCACTATAACAGCAAGGCATGACTAAACCTGAGGCCAGGCTCAAAGGAGACAGCCACACCTTCCCCGAGCTGAGCTGAGGACCTGTCTGCTGTCTGTGTCAGACACACAGTATATGTGATAAGCAGTTTCTAATAATAACGCTGCCGTTACAGTCTAGCTCAAGGTAGGCGTCTCAGAGCAGCTCAGTGAGAGCGACACAGGTGGCAGGTTACCCGCTGACCCGCGCTGCTAATGACACCAACCAAATTCCACACAGATCTCTGCGTGTTTTTACTTGCATGGCAGGTAGCCAAATGCACAGGCTCACAGAAGCATGACTTAAGATGGCTGAGTAATTATCATGTGTCACTTATGTATTCGGCATACATTCCGAGGCACTTTGCTTTGTTTCTTTCGAAAAAGGCAACTTTTTCAACTGGCATGCAGGGCATTACCGAGACATTGTCCTTCCGAGATAAACAGCAAATAGCGTTAACGAGCAAAGAGAACAGACTCAAAAAGTTAAGAATAAACCTGAGAGAATAGGAGGTATTACATATAAGACCTCGGGGTTAAAAAATAAGTCATTCACATTTTCTCACACTGGCGCTTTTCGTTGATAACCAATGAGAAGAAAATTGGAGGATTTTTGAATGAGATTTGGCGTGAAGACCTGCCCGCACGCGCTAACTGAACGTATCAAGGTAGGAACAGGTAGGCGGAGGGCTCTCGCGGACGTTTCGGTCAGTCTGATTACCGATAGTACAAACACAGCTTCACTTTCACTGAAAATGTCGAGTAAAAACATTTAAAGCAGGAGGACAACTTACTTCCCCAGCTCCTCGTACAGCTGGTACTCGTCGGTAAACCTGGTGCAGGTCGTTGAAGCCATGTTCAGGTGAGCGCAGGAGAACAACTTGGGAAACTGAAAGCCTCAGTCGCTGTGATACTCTCCACAAATCCTTTCCCCTCTGGCTCCCGGAGCGCCACTTGTCGCCTTCCGGAGGACAAAATAAAAGCAAAACTTAAGAATTATTTAGAAATGTCTCCTGAATGCGGTAATAGCTCGGCGTCGCTCCTCCCGGCTCCTGTTCGCAGACCCCGATTACTCCTGGAGTTGACAGGGACGTCGCGACCTGCTGTTGTGTTTGTCTCAAGGCTGACACTTGGATTAGTTGACCGAAGTCAAGACAGACTTCATATGGTATATCCCTCATCCGGTGGCGACGTTTCAAAATAAAAGTCCAATTAACAGGCCCTTTAATTGTCTTTCTCTGTGGTTGTAGGCTATTGGGGTGTATTTAAAGGTAAAATATTTCAAACTCAAGTTTAGTCCTGTTTTTCAGTCCTTTACAATCCAATGTAGATTTTATGTATCATAAAAAAAACATGTCCTCTTCCCATCTAATTTGTTTTTATCCTCCTTTTTTACTTACAAGCCTGCCATCATATTAAGTGAGCCAGTTATGTTTGTGAATTATGGGCTAACTTTTTTTTATGGTAGTCAAGAAAGGGTGCGCCTGCAATTCTTTTTAATGCCGTTATCTCGGGATCACAAGTTAATGATTTTATAATCTTGAGAGAACAATCTTGTTATCCCAAGATAACATCAAAATGTCGTTTCCTCTTATGACTTATAATGTTTATCAGAGATCAGGAGTGCCATGCTGGCACACGTAGATGGCGTATATTCATTTTCATACTGACCAACGTGAGCCAGCAGCCAGGACAAAGTGCATGACAAGAATCTTTGAGCTTGTTAATAAATCTCAGTCTCCAGATAGATTTTGTCAGTCTTGCATCACATTGCCAGGAAAGGAACAGCTTCAATGAACTGTCAGATGTCCATTCTGGTAACAACTCTTTTTGGTTCAGTCATGACAGTGATGTTGACATTTCTGAGTTCTCCATAATTATACTGTGATCTCGGGAAAACAAAAATAATTTCCTTGTGATAAATTGGCTTGTTATGTCACGAAATTGGCCTTTTGCTTTCCCAAGATAATCAAATAAATTCATTCATGAACTCAAGATAACGACATTAAAAAAAGGATTGCAAGCATGGCCATTCTTGGCTTCCGTAGAGTTTTTTAAAAATGTACTTGGTGGAACATACATGTTTTGTAATTCTGTACCATACTTGTATTATGACGAGTCTTTAAGCACTCCTATCAATTAAAATGATCATCGTAGTTATATTGTGTTGTTAGTTATAGAAACATATGTCTTTAAACAAAGTGTCTAATCAAGTGGATGGCAAAAGTTGAAAGTTGCACCCTTTTATCTCATGAAAACACACCTTGAATCTGTGCACTATTATGTATATCTTATATATTTAAGTTTTATTTCATTTTGTTTTTCATCATGTTATTTACTTGGTCATTGAATATTGTACCAAACATTTATTTTTCAATGTGGCAAACGTGAATGCTTTTTTATTTTGGAGGTACCTAACTCAACATCCGTTTTTTTCTTGGTATGCTGTGTCCAACTTGATAAAGCAGAATTTCTTCTCAGCGTTTCCTTGTTGAAAATGTTACACACGGGCTCCATCTAGAGGCAGCAGGGTCGAACTGCTGTGGGAGTTCACAGCTCTTCCTGAGCCTCTAAAAACCCACAGAGCCACACTTCCATTAACAGCCCACCACACAGCTAGGTCTGGGTTTGTTGATGTGAATCACACCATACAATAAAGTTAGAAAAATGTATCTAATTGAAGAGGAAACTGAATAAATAAACTTTTGCTGAAAATACCTCAATAATGTGAGAAAAATCCAATATATTGCTTTAGATCTCTTTCAGCACTCACTCACTGAAATGGAACCATGGGAGGAGTTTAGAGGGGACATGTCTCTAAGAAGGAACTAACAACTCACAGATACAGCTTTTATGTAAGGGATTTCGTACACTATAAAATCTTACTTTGAAAATGAGCTGGCAACTAAAAGTATCATATAAATGTGTAAATTAACATAAAATGGAAATAAAAAGTTGCAAGTGCTATTCTTCTGGGTGCCAGCTGGTGCAAACATTGTGTTATTACATTAAAGACAGAACAAAATGGAGCACACCACGAGTTTCGCATGTCGCTTCAACAGATTCATTCTCTGCTTCATTACCATCAGGTGCTGGAAATCCAAAAGATAAAATACAAATACAATAGAAAATAGCAAATGGAATGAATCATTCAAGCTTAAATATTAATGTTACATTACAGAAGACAATGAGATACAATTCATACAAAACCGGTAGTGCAAAACTGGCATTTCATTCAGTATATTTTCCATTATTCAAATAGTAGATTCAGAATACATATGAAAATAAATAATATATAAATAAGGTACATAGTAGGGGAAAAAAAGTAGAAATATTAGAAAAAAGAGAATGTTATCCAAATACATAGGCCTCCCATTATAATACAAATCAGAAGTAGGAAGAGGTGAATCCTAGGAATAACTTGTTTTTCATGTAATAAAAGTGTCAATTATTGTATGCTGGAATATGTTTTTGTTGTCTGGTGTAAAATTGAAGTTCCTCAAAGTTGTCCTGAAAGGACCAGTGTGTAGGATTTAGTGAGACCTAATGGTGAAGTTGCAGATTGCAATTAACTGAACACTGCTTGCATCTGTATTTGAAAACCTGGCAATGAGAACTGAGGCTGTGAAGTGTTTAGGAGAAACTAAAAAAACCCAAAAAGGCCCTATCTAGAGCCAGTGTTTGGTTTGTCCATTGTGGGCTACTGTAGAAACATGGCGGATCAACAAGGAAGGCTCTGTAGAAGAGGGCCCACTCCCTCTGTAGATAACAGCTCATTCTAAGGTAATGAAAACACACAGTTCCTATCATCAGGTGATTATACACTAATGAAAACCTAACTATGAATATTATATTCCAGTTCTGCCAATAGATCCTCCTCAATGTTACACACTGGACCTTTAAAGTACAGTACTTGAGTAACTGTAATTAGTTACTTTCCAACACAGCGGTTCAAAGATACTATCCTTGATCTTTGTCCAGCCATCCACTGACTCCTGGTCCACTGACTCCTGGTCTGGAGTTACAGATGTTGGCTTTAGGTGTTCCAGCTGCTTCCAGCATTTGTCTGGAACCAGTTTCCAAACTCAAGACAGACCTTTGACACTCAGCTAATGACCTTTACTTCAGCTTGAGTTGTGGAATGTACACGCTTGGATGGAGACCTTAAAGGCAACACAGCAGCTCCTGTGGACCCCCCTTACTGTAATATATTAGGTCAGACATTACCAGGACACTAATGGCTAATCAAAGTAATTAGGTCGGGGTATTTCTAGAACCGCTTTAATTTTTTATGTCCTTTGGCAAACACACTGAAGTTGCTTGATTAAGCGTGTAAACCTCTTAAAAAGTGTGGTCCCTCAAGAAACCCCAAATCTTCCCAGACCAGTAAGAACCAGTTCAAAAATGAGGCTGATCAGGTTCACCTCACACACCTAC